TCCAGGTTTTCCATAGCTCTGGAAGTGATTAGATGAAGGCAAGACATAAATATAAACCAAAGGACTCAAACTGAAATGTTTTGAACTGTTGATTGCTTACACTTGTAAAACCTATCGACAGCAGACCATACACAATTGAAGTCACAATCAGCTGTGATAACTGCAGTTACCTGCTCTCTGAATAACTTTACAGTACACCAGAATAAGAGGAAGGCATGGAAAAATTGAACATTTTACTTCCAGAATGTGATGGTTGTAGATGGCTTCAAAATGCTCAGCTTTGGTGACCAAAACTGAACAATGCTCAAGAAAAAAGCCTTTTGAATGGACGTGTTGAATCATGATGGTGTACCAGTTATGATGTAAGTTCCCCTTGTGTTCTCTGGTTCATGTTTCACTGCTACAGTATATAATTTTACATGATGGCATAAAACAGAATATTCATGGTAACTAAGATTTTGTAAAGATGGCAAAATTGTATTTTTCTCTGCGGCAACCACAAGCATGCATTTCGATCAGGAATATGAACTCATGCTAGTTTCGATCACAATGAGGGTGTAGTGGATTTAGTAATCAGCAAACCAGACCAATAATCCCCAATTCATGTAGAATGCTACAGAGGCAGATACAGTAGATGGTCTACATTTATTGTGTTGGGGATGGATTTGTTCAATCTTCCCAAGTTAGAGGTGGTGAAATTTGCTTGTTTGCCACATACAAAGAAATGTGTATTTCACTACAATCTACAGATACAGTTGCTGTCTCAACCCTCAACCCCTCAAATATTAGCCATGTTCAAATCACAACTGTAGTATACGTTTGTATAATTATCAGTAAGACACTGATCTTTGATCGCAGTGGTATTTCACTCCATTCAGAAGTTTATTTACTGCTTTATAATCTTCCATTGAAAAACTAAACAAGGAATAAGACAATACAAACATTTACCATAAATTAATGACATTCAGGTTTTTGTCTTAAAGTACTTTATTGTCTATTTATCCAAAATAAAAATATTTCAACCTAGTTTACTTAATCTATGATCACTAATAAAACAAAAGTAAGTCTAATCAGGTCCAACAAAGTAATTAATCTAATTTCTTAAGCAGTATAAAATGCTGCTTTGTAATGGTGTTTTGCAGTGGTTTAATGAAAGGCCAAGAACCATATTAAGAAAGACACAACATCAAGCATTATTCACATCAACAGATAAAATACAGAATGTTAAAAAAGCTAAAGAAATATACACATTTCAGCAGATTGGTATATCCAACATATCAAAACTATATTTACAAAATATTCACTGGATTAAAAAGACTGTCACAGCATATATAGCATTTTCACTTAGAAAGCATGTTAAAATATCTATTTAGTAACACATTTTACTTGTACAGTCTAAGAATTTTTTTTCAGAGCAGAAAATGTTTTTCCTGAGTCGAAAACATCCACGTGTATCCAAAATATTAAACGGGGGGGAAATGGTTTGCACATCCTTTTCTCAGCGTAAGGCGTGCTTTTAATGGCAGGAAATTAAAAAAAAAAAATTGAAGATTGAAGGCTTCCAAACATAACTGTAATAAAATATAAAACTGAACTGGAAGATGCCCATTCCGAGCCAATCAAAATACCCAATTCAAATATTTTAGCATGCCCATTAGAAGAGTTATTTAGTGTACAACTACGTATTTTATAGAAATAAAAAAAAGGATAAAGTTGTGGAAGCACTGTTAGTCTATGTGTCTGCTCAATCTTATGTCAAAAGGCTAAATCATGCAGTAAAAGGTTTCCCTTAGACATGAGAAAAAGTTAAATATCAAAACTATCTTGCCCAGTCTCATAGTTTAAAAATTAGAAGACTAATCTTTCAGATCACTTCCAGGAAACTTTCTTCTAGTTCTTAGGGTTTAAAAAAAAACAAGAAAAAGGAACACATCATCAATCAATACCAAAGGCCTCCCATTCAAACAAGATAGCCTAGAAAACTACCCCCCTCAATCTCCTCCTCCCGTTTCTTAGCACTGACGAGTGGGCAGGCTCCGGTTGGCACTGTGGCTTGCTCGCTCACGCTTGCCGATCATAGTCGCTGACCATCTTTTTGATGTGGGACAGTTTCCCTTTCAGATATTTACAGCGCTGCTTTTTCTTCTGGTAGTCGGAAGACTGCAAAATTGAAAAGAAAAATGCAATTAATCGCTTTCGGTCAACCAAAAAAAAAAAAGCAGAGAAATATTCTCCTTCAATTCACAACGATCAGGAATAGCTTCTTTTTATTCCATCAGTTTCCCGGCACCATCCCCACATCGGCCTGAAAGAGATCAAGTCAATATCCTATATCCCATGGATATACAGTATATACATACCAACAGGGACAACTTCCAAGAAAAAAAAAAATCAAAGCACCCCAAAGGAACCCATCCAAATGCGAGGAGAACATGTAGACTACTAGATACCCAGTCAAGAACCAAATCCAGAACCCAAGAGTTGTGGGGGACAGTTTTAAAAGCCATGCTGCCCTCCACAATGCCTTATGACACTCACAAACCTCAGTTTCTGCACAACTGTTTTGTTTAGCAGTCTTAAGCAGGAATGTTCACCATTACTTCTTTATTTTCCTCTTGGGATAATTGTTTTTTCCAATTTATATAATTTAAACATGCCTTAGCTCATCATGTACCTGCCATTTTTGCAGACTCTTTTTATTTAAATATGGAAATGATATGGTATATATTGGTGCTCCAAAAGCTTAAAAACACACTATTCCCAAGCTTCCATTATATCTTACTCCCGAAGAATTGTCTTCACAGGCACCAACAGGAAAATTACATATTTGTAATCTTATCCTCTCAAACTGAAATAAGAAACCACTTAATCGTTGCATTTCATAAGTAAAATCCCAAACTTGAGCAGACAAAGACTTCCAAAAATATTCCAATCAAGCCAAACCGTTAGTTGAGTTTAGACAACCAAGCTGAGCTGGAAAGAGAACCAGCAGGCGTGTGAGCCTCCAGGACCAGCACTGGGAACCTCTGCCTTACACGACTAGAAGAACTCACATGGAACCTGCATACACTTATACATGAACCCACCTTCTTTATATCCTTCAGTCTGTGGTATTCGTCAACGGCATCCTGTTAAAATAAGTGAAAGAATCAAAAATTAAAAGGGCGGTCAGTGAAAACCTAGGTGTAGCATCATTTTGTGACCACGCTGACGAGGGGGACACCAAGCCCCTTCACAAGAGCCGGAGTGGCCAGCCCTCATCCTGAAGAGCCACCAGTCCAGCAGGGTTTATGGGCCACCCTTCAATCAACTTCTCCACGCCTAGAACAATTGCGTTTTCCAGCTTTGCCGTGAGCGAGGCATTCGGTTAGGTAGTGTAGAGCTCACCTGAAATGGAAACACTGTGTAGCTGCCAAAAACAACACGTCATCTTTCCAGATAATTAACTCACTAAACTAAATGCATGGGCTTTAAGTTCATTTAAATCACTAAAATAAAAAGCAGTGACCACAAACTTACAGTAATCAGCTAAAATAACATGAAACCCTCCCCCGTGTCCTGTCTGCCTGTGATTATCACTCCCTTACTGTAACAAAGCCGGTCATTCTCCCCGCTGCTGACACAGAACCTGGAGCGTTTGTTACAATATACAAACAAGACCAGGTTGAGGTGCAGATGTGGGGTAGTGGGTACTTGGGCTGGCAGCAAGTACTCACTAGCTAGATTCGTCTTGTGCGCCTGTTCTGTTGTGCTGCTAATTTAAACTCACTTGGTTTCTTACAACACCCTGCTGGCCAGACCGAAGTGTTACTTTCACCTGATGGGATGATTGGAATAATTCCAAAACTAATATGCTGGAAAGGCATCCATTAACTCTCCCTCATCATTTTTAAACCCTCCCAGTAAAGTGTGAACTGCAGCTCTACGTAGTGACACACCAATTATTTTGACATCTAAAAAACACCTTGGACACCTTCAGATACCTTAAAGTGAAGACTAACACAGTGCTCTTAATGCCCTTTTCCTTCTGTACCAGTCAGCACATGCAGACCCTGCTGTGCAGTTACCCCACCACACCACCAGTTCAACACAAATGCCCTTACAAGTAAAAACCAGGGCATTTCTTTCAGGGTGAAACGATGGAGCAGCTCGCCAGAGGTTCAGCAAGACCGGACGTACCAGGTACTGTGGGCTGCCTTCTTCCAGCTCATCCAGCTCTCTGTCCAACTCCGACAGCTTCTTGTTGGTCTGGTCCATCTCGGCCTGCAGCTTCTTGTACTCCAGATGGTCCCTGTCGAACTCCCGCTTGTAATCCTGCCTGTCCTGTTCACTGGCGATGGGCGGGAACTCGCTGCAGCACAAGGATGGGATTCGGATCAAGCCCGGGGGATTTACTACTTCAGGAAACACCCTTCCTGAGGTCTAAGAAGTCGTATTCATTTCATTCTTTTTCTAAAGGAAATGATCTGTTTTGGCTCCTAGTACACCCGTATCTCTTTTTACCAACGCAATCCATTCCCAGAAACACTTCTGGACAGTTAAAATTCTTAAAAAGAAAAACCTATTTTCATTATTTCCTCTGAGGAAAAACTACCATCTGTACCAGATCCCAGAAATGCCACCTCTACTTTTATTTTTTTCCACCAAAAGATGACAAAAGAAAGTATAATGACTAACATTCATACTGTGGTTTGTGGTTTTAGAAATAAAAAAAAATTGCTTACCTAGTTAGACGCATCTAATCATCCCTACGTATTTGTGTTTTGTGCAATTAAACACACACTCACAATTTTCACAAAGGTCCACGATAAAGTTTAAACCACAAAATTGCTTACATGAAAAGTAAGAGGAACACAACAGTGAACAACATGAAATAAGACATGGTGAACTGTACCACAGATCTCTCCTGCCACTCCATATTCTCTTGCTAGCTCTCACCCATAGTAGTTAGCGGAAGGTGACGAGTTGCACAATGCCTTCCTCTTCACACTCTACGATGGGTGGAGGTTTCAGAATTTAATTTCATAGCGCTTTTTTCGTAGTTTCAAAGCTGGCTTTCACTGTTCGAAATGCGGGTAACACTTCACTTGCTTGGCAATATTGAATTTTCATTAAAAGAACATTCGTGAAAAGAGGTACGAGTGTATATCTCAGGTGAAATGGGGCCCAACTGGCACCATGGAGATGGGATTTTCAGGAGCTGAGGATCATGGGGGCAAAGAAAAAAAAAAATAACACAGCCTGAAATGAACTTTTACTAAACCTCACCAACAGAATGTGCCTGGGACACCGGTATTTTGTTACCGGTTATTCCTAAATAACTTGCTAGGTCTCTCTAGGCAGCAAGCAGAGTCAGAATAGGATGTGGGATGTTTTCTACAAGGTGTTGAAATACTTGCAGTGTAGCCCCTTTCCATCATTTCGCCAGAATGTGAGGCAGTGAAATAAGTGAGTGAGACCAGATGGCTTCTTCACTCGGATTTAAAGCCTCACAGTTGCTCTGGTCAGATGAGCCAATGGAAATATCTCCCACACTGCAGGGTAACCACAGCTTTCCTGCCCCAGAGAAACTTCATTGGAGCCCCCTTTCTGTCCATTCAGGACATCGACCACACACGCTGCACACACAAAGCCTCCAATATTGTGGACAATCCCTCCCACCCCTCCTGCAACCTCTTTGCCCTCCTACCAGCTGGTAAAAGGTATCGTGGTGTACAGGCCAGCGCCCCCAGACTCTGCAACAGCTTTTTCCCCACAGGCTGTCAGGCTCCTCAACACCCTGGTACCTACTGCACCTACTCCAAATCTGGAAACCTAGTTCTTTTTTACCTAATGTCAGTCATACTGTCTGATGTATTCTTTGCACAATTGTTTGCACAATCCTGTAAAGTAAATTGCACTATGCACATTGCACTTTATGTCCCCTGTAACCTGTCAGAAATGTCTGTTTACATTGTCTATAGCATTGTCTTGTCAGTGTCTTGTCTGTATTCGCACCGTAGACCTGGAGAACGATATCTCGCTCCTCTCTGTATACTTGTATATGGCTGGAATGACAAATAAACTTGAACTTGAGAGAGTTTATTCTCCTGAATTCCTAATACTTTGAACAGCTAGAGCATATTAAACTGATGTCCGCAGAAAGCTAGAAGCACTCTATTTGTCTTGTCTAACTGAAGGTGAAAAGGCTCGTTCACCTTTCCCACTCATCGTCCAGCTCATCGGCAGATTCTGCGCCTGTCGTGTAGTCGGTGTCGTAGTCCTGCCCCTCCGTGCGCCGCGGCCGGCCTGGGCGCCTCTTCCTGGGGGGCTTCTTGGTCGAATCCGTCATCTCCGAGCTGCTGCTGTGGGGCGGGTAAGGCTGGCTCTGCAGGGGCACAGTCAGCTCCGGCTCCCTGCGATTGGCAAGTGAGGAACACAGCAGAAAAGAACATTCTCACTGATGGCGCTCCTGCAAGAAGTCATACCACATGCTTTACTGCAGATGCAATAAATGAGGCTGAAAACAGGGTAGTAAATGTCCTTATATACATGCTTTTCACCTCAAACTATCCCAGAGTGCTTTACACCATGTAGCCTGATCCTGGTGGTGAGATCAGGCTACAAGGTGCTTACATAAAGTTTAGGTTTTTGCATGTAATCTGTTTGTCCATGAATTCAGCATAAGAGAAAATAGCATGGTTTAAGTTCTGAATTTTTGATACAGAGAATGTAATTAGTGAATTCAAAAGCTTTTTCTAGAAGGTAAATGTATGAGCCAGAAATTCCTGCTGCTTTCCCCAAGGAATTACCTGCACTTTGAGCATGTATGAGACACATAAGGTAATCTTTGCATTTTTATGAACCAGTCTCTATTAATCCATTTAACACCAGACAACATTCAGCTCAAAGAAACTGTTCAAAACAAATCAATTTCTTTCTTGTCTGTACAAGCAGGAATTCCATACATTCCAGGTCATGCTATTTTAAGATACAAGTCTGAATTTCAACACTGACTCATTTTTGCTGACTACCCCCGCCTTGTCAGGCTAAGTGGTACAGCTTACGGCCACGTTTGCATGACAAAAACTAAACATGAATATGCCTTAAATCGGTATTGGGAAACATTCTCGCAGGTATATGTATCCAGATACTGCAGAGGCTCTTCACAGAATTAACACCAAGCTGGAACAGGGTGGAGAAACATGATAATGTTTATGGCATATAGAAATTGTCCTTTCCTTTTCTATGCAGCCGTTTAAAGTTTTGTGCATTTTTCCCCTCTATTAAGAAGAAAAAAAGCTTTCCTTGCTGAAAATTTAATCTTTAACGACCAGGCACTTTTAAGAAAAACAAATATGCCTGGCCCTACCTACAAAACACAGCCGACAGAAACCACAAGGGCAGTCTCACCAAACAGTCAATTAGAGTAGACTATGAAACTGCAGTGTAAGAAAACAGGGGTGGAGTCCTCCTCCTCCACTGCAATAAGATACATCAGCACATCATATGCTTGTGGCAATGCGGTAAGGACTGCTCAGAAGGTGCAGGATCACATAATGATCACTTTTGCTGCTGTCAGTGACCTTGCCTTTAACAACTGAGAGTATAGCTCATCGCTTGCAAACACTCTCAGAATCTCTGGATCAGAGTTCTGTTAGCATCGGCGACATTGCTGCTGTGTGGTCTGATCTCGTCAAATGTCAGAAGCTGAGCATCACTGGGCCTGGGGAGCACTGGGACTGGAGATCTCCAAGGCAAATCAACAGAACTTGCTTCTGCGGGAGGTGCTGCAGACCAGTAGGTGGCGCTCGACTCTCTGAACTGGAATTTCCAAAACAAAAGCACCAATACGGTGTGCAGAGACACTGCGCTGTAAGGAGGTGCTGTTCTTCACATGAGACAGAAACCAAAGCCCAGACTGCTTAATTACACTGAGGATCCCAGGGTGCGACACATAAAAACAGGAGTTAACACTGGCGTCCTGGTCAAATTCAGCTTCGGGCTTGCTCATTTGGGCTACCTTAAGATCCTCCTTAACTCAACTGCTGCACCACTTTCTCAGATCTCACTGCTCTGCTGTGGCAGAGCTGCAGGAAGATGCTGTGCTTCTGTGGTGGGTGATGAGGGTCCCTGCATGTCAAGAGCTTTGGGATCCTTTAAGATGAAAGTCTCCAACCGAATAATCACAATTAACATCTCGCAAAGCAGGAACATATTTATGCTCAACCTGTTTTCACTCCTTACCTCTCCCTTCAGTTGCTCCCTCAAGCACTTCCCTATACTAGCAAACAGCAGCATAAACCACTGGACTGCTTCCAAACAATGAGCTCCTGAGAGTTTCCTCCAAAAACTTCACTTTCCAGGTACTTAGAAGTGGTATTTTTGTTACATTATGATGTTTTATACTTCAACCTCACAATTAAATGTTGTCCTAAGTCATAATATATAAAAGTAGCACCATTCTACTTAACCCCCTGAATCCTTATTCTTATAACAGCTCTGAGGTGCTACATATATAAAAAAGACTATCGAGATCTCAAACAGCATGGCATTTTATGTGACAATGTCAATAAAGTATTAATGAAACACTCCAAATGTGTATTGCATGGGGACATTGCTGAACATATTGACACCATTCAGGCATTTACCTGCTCCTGGGAGCATAAAAACAGAACGAACACAGCAAGACCACAAAAACATCCAACCACAAGGCTGCCAGCAAGTGTCCACTTGTACTGGTGGTGACACTGGGATTTCTGTGACTCCACAAACCAGCAAGAGCTGTGTAAGTGGTCTTACGTCACTTTACAACAATCATCTAATGCCAAGCAGTGAGAAAGTGCAACCTATTAAAATACTATGAACAATCTGTTTTCTTCTCTGCACTTTTTCTAAAATAGAGAAGTTTTCTTTGAAGTGAAATTTCGGAGGTGTAATTAGGAATATCTAGTTTTGTTTTTACCTTGTAAAAAGAACAACGCCAAGATGGTTTCTAAAAAAAAATCAAGGAGCTCCACAAACTAATATTTCCCAGCTGAGCTCGAGTTTTTCTGGTAGAGGGTTGATATTGCACAGCCCAGCTCAGACCTGGCTATTCATACAGGAAGAACGACATAGCTTTGGTAATCATGCCCATTTCAAGCAAAGTGATTAATTACAGCCCACACTACCAGGCACAGCAATCGTATTTTTAAAGTGTGAACACAAAACTATATTTCCTTTGGGGAGCACTTGTGACATTCTGATGTCCTTTCACTAACAACAGAATCTTGGGATCTAAAAAAAAAAAAGATTAAAAAAAAACATGAAAAACCCCTAATAACAATGTTGAGGTTTCGATCAGATGTTAAGCTACAGTGGTTCAATGCGTGACAAGCATTGAAATTGTTTCAGATCCCTTTAACTGAAAACCTCAGTGGCATGCCTGAAACAAATATCACTGAACCCCGTGTGTTGAAATAATGTAAAACTAGCGACGTGGTATTGAAGTCAACTGGCAACCAAGATGCACACTTCAGGACTGAAGTTTGTTGGAGAACGCAAAAGACAGGCATCCAGCAATCTTGCTGAATTAATCCAGCAAGTTTATTATTGCGAAACAAAATATCAAAATGGCCACAACAGGCAGCAGTTACCAATATATTTTTAGCGTCTACTGTTAAAACATTGAAAGCCAATATCAGGCTAAGACCACCTTCACCAGCAAGGTCCAACAACGTACTTACATGGGGTAGTTGCCTTTGTTAGGCTTACTGTCATCATAGCTGCCATTGTCCAGCACACTGGTGGAGCCACGGAGCTTATCTGGGTAGTCCGCTACAACTCCATCTGGGTAGTCCGACACATTTTTGACCTGCACAGACAAGAGAAGGCAAGTCAATCTCCCGGACAGAAGTACCTGCCATCTTGAGATGGTGAGGCTGGAGAAGTATAGGGAGTGAAATGCTTTTTAGATACAGGAAGTGAACGGTCCAGAGTATTATCCTATAACAAAACACAGCTTGTGTGTTTTCGGTCCCCTCCCTATCCAATAACATATCTGTGATATTGTCAGTCTTGATTTCAATGAGACAACAAGTATTCTAAACCCTCAAGGGTCCTGGCCGGTGGTTCCTGTGGATTTCTTCAGAATAAACAGTGAAAGACAAAAGCACAAATTGAAACTACAGGGAAATGCTTTAAAACTCAGAAGAGGGAGCACTTCTTTACACAAAGGGCTGTGGGAGTGTGGAACAAGCTGTTCAACCATGTGGTTCAAACTGATACCCTGTCTTCATTCGAGAAACTGCTGGATGAGATCTAACTACCAACCAAGCTTCATAAGCCAGACAGACCCCTCTCATTTGTAACCATCCTGATATTCACTGTAACCTTAAAACTTAACAGAAACGATGCACTGTGTCTAAAGTGTTCCCCTGTTAGGTCTGCAGTTGTATTTGGTTGAAAATGTGATCATAGTTGCTACTGTAGAACAAAATCAAGCCCTAATTAAAATGCCGTGCATGTCGCCAGGGGGTTGACAAGGCATTTTATTGAAAATCACCATATTTGTATAAAAGCTCTTCCAACCAAATTCAGAATATTAGAATATTCACCAACGAGAGACCATTCAGCCCTTAACTCTCATTTCATTCTATTTGTCTTGTTTCACTGCAAGTGCTCTGGGAAGTGATAACCAGAGCCAATGGCAAAAACCCATCTTCACAAGAGATAATGCAGGTTCCAATACACAATGCAGTTAGAACACAGAAGAAGATCTGAATTCCGGAACCTTAAATCATTAAACTTAACGGGTATTGAGGCCTTGGTACAAATCATTATCTTCAACATCTTTATGCACTTTTGTGCTAGCAGTGCTTTACAATTCATAACTCTATGGATTGATTTATATAAAGTGCAAAATGAATTTGCATTTAATTTTCTGACACTTTTTCATTTACCGTTGGTTAGAGGAAGAAGTATCAAGTGTTGACAAGCACGTCTGCAAAAGGCTGCTTCCGGGCTGTCACACGTGCAAGGTGAAGACAAAAACCCCATGTATACGAAACCCCAACTACAACACGCAGCATGAGGTTAGTGCTAATCTAACACTCTGGTTAGTTCCATTTCAATCGTCTCATGGGATGAGTTCAAATCACATTTCAATGTTTCATAGCTTCTCGATTGCCAGGTATTTCATTATGGGGTTACCCCATTAATGTTCAAAATATGGAACGCTGTCTGCCAGAGACAGTGGGGAAAATGTACAAAAACATCCAACAGCTTTAAAGCTGTCTTGCCATGACATCCAGGTATACCACCTTGAACAGCTGGCCCTGGGTTTTTAGCAAGCACTACGAAAAGCCAGTGCTTCCTGGGGTCAGGTTTCCCTCTGCACGTCTGCTGTCAGCACACAAACCTTCAATCCAGTTAGTAAACCAGTCCGTCTACTTTTGCGGTTCCATCCTGAGAACAGAAACTAGATAGAATCACAGCCTAAAGGCTGTTAAGCCACTGCCACTTGACACAAAAACAACAGAACGGAGACACCCTCCCCCCCAGACTTGCTCAAAGCCTACTGAAGCTCTGGAAGCACTGTAGACGTCTCCACACAAGCAGAGGGTAGAGGGGATATCGAATGATCTTGCACATATAAATGTCTGTAAAACCCACTAGGAAAAGAAACCTGAAAGAGCAGACAAACTCTCTCCAGATCCCAGTGCCAGCATGCTGTATTAATATTCAAAAGGAAAGGTATCTGGAGGTCGTGGAAAAATAAAAGAGAAGACGTGACCACAGAAAGGCAACTGCATTTGTGAAACTCTCTGGATTCATTAAGCCCAATTTTACAGGACTCCCGAATCTAAAGACCCATTTACCAAAACACTGTGATTAATAAACGCAAATTAGCACTGCAAATACATAGGAAAGTACAGAAAATGGTGGGTGGAGCTTATTTTCCGAACCGTGTTCCAAGATAAAAAAGGCAGTACACACCAGGATGACTTTATTCAACTGTCTTATTAATGCAGGAAAAAACCTAATAGATCATCTGTAGTTTCAAGGTTATGATCACGGTAGTGGGTTAAAAAAATCTGCAATCAGGAAAACATTATTTTCTCTTAATGCTTAAATATATACAAATCCTAACATCACAGCTGTATAACCATTAAACAAAATGTGAACGTACAAAAACTTGAATATTGCACACACATCAGAAAAGGTTTTAAATGTTGAGAACGATGCCATTGAATTGTAGAGAGTATGGGTGGCTATAAATATCTACCTGAGACTGGAACTTTTATTATTAACTTCTAAATCAAACTCTGAACTCTTGTTTTTTCAAGGATCAATTGATTAGGATGGCAGCGATCTTCCGCCACAGAACAGACTGGAATAGGTGAAACATTGCAAAGATGTCACCTCCAGGCTTTCAGGAAACACAGCTGAAACTACCTCTACAAGACACACCCAGAAACCTGCATAAAACGTACTCCTGACATAAGCGGAAACTATCCACTATACACAGCTTCCTCCCCAGACACCGTTCAGAACCCTTAATTTCTGGACACCATTTCAACACCAGTGGTTAAGCATATGAAACCAAAAAATATTTAAAAAGCTAAGAGCTTTAATGAGATTCAGCTAAAAAATCCAAATTAAGGGGAGCTAAATCAAACCCTGATAGCTTGGTAATCAATTACTCTGCAAATGAAATGTAAGAATATAAATTAAATCCACTTGCAGTCCCCCCCTCCCTCCCAATACCTTGAGACCATTAACAAATCAAAACTAATTTTAACCAATAGCTTCAAATTCTCTGTAACGGTATTTGAATAGATTTTATGTTCAAAACTTTATATCCTAAAATGTCATCTAACACATTTAAAGCTGTTTTTTGTATGAGTACTGAATTTGCCTAAATAAAGCAGAATGTATTGTGAACTCCAAACATAGAAAACTAGATCTTAAGATCTTTGAGGCACAATTTCATTTCTTGGCACTGCTCTGCACAGCACGTCTGAAGTTTGATTATTAGGAACAATAGAAACAAAGAATACAATTAATGTATTTTTACAAAATTAAAAAAAAGTTAATAAAAGCAGCTTTGTTATATATCACTACCTTATACGCTCCAACCTGACGCATGAAAATACGAGGGACAATAGTTATTCAGGGGGTTTAAAAGAAGACGGGGAAACACTCCTGTAGACTTGTGTAAAATAACACATGAACCTTTCATACTAATAACTACGTTAAGAGGAATTTGGCTGAAAGTAAAAATATGAAACCACAGCTGATGCAAGTGAAACCCAGACAATGATTAAGAGACATAAGATTCCGTGGTTTTTGTCAGCTAGAAGCTACATCTTTAAAAAAAAAATACAGTAATCCGTGGTCTTCAAACAGTAAGAAAAAATTCACTTGCTTTTTGTATTGGTGGAACTTACCCATTCTTCCACATGGGCAGGGCCCTCCTCAACCTCATCGACGACTTTAAATTTGTTCCACAAGATGCTCTCTTTTCCATAGCGATTGATTTTATTTCTCGTTATAACAGCGAAGGCGAGGATAACGACCAACGCAACAGCTACAAGGAAGCCAAACACAATGGCAATAGCCTGAAAAGATATAAAAAGAAGGGTTTGAGACTCCTGAGCTCAACCTAAAATGTCTAACTTTGATGACATGAAGTGTTTCAATACTAACAATTCACAAACCCATTTTACACCTTCAGCATAAAAAAATAGATCATACTAAAACTGTACAGAAAAAAAAGAGTAATATATGCTCCACATTTTGATAGCCGCAAAAGATAATAGCTTAACTAACTTCTGCTTTAACACTTCACAGTGAATGGGGATGACAACTGAGAAAGCAACAGAAACTTGGCCTGAAAAGGAATTCAATTCTGTTCTAAAAACGACCTTTGTTGCAAGTTTAGACACTTCAGCTTCACACAAAAAGACAACTGTCTGGCTGAAGCCCACACACAGAGTGAAACGAGAGTGTCACTAACCTCCTGCGGCTCGACGACGCAGTAATGGTAAAGGTACTGGTTAATGAAGACCCCAGAGGGAACTGGGTTCTGGTACTGGGAGCAGAGCGCTATGACCTGGTTGTAGTAAATGGAACCAGAGGTCTGCGCGGCAGGGTTCACCCCCACCAGGTAGACGATGGTGGCGATGAACATCAAGACGCACAAGATGGCGGCGACGATGATCACGGCCAGGTAAAACTTCCTGGACCTGGAGACGCTCTGCCTGGAGACGACCAAGATGAAGATCACCAGCATCGTCACGAAGCATATGGCCGCCATCGTAATGATGAATCCCTTGCACGTCCTGGGGTCGATGTAGTTTCCTCCGAGGTTCCCGTAACCGTAAGACGCACCAGAGCCGTAGCCGCCGTAACCACCGAATCCGCTGTACCCGGTCCCGGACCCATACGAGCCTCCAATCCCGCTGAAGCCCGAGAGGCCCATGTCCGTGTCCCAAGCCAGCGTGGAGGCCACGCAAGCGAAGATGCCGACGCAGAGGATGATGATGATGATGGCCATGATCTTGATGATGCCCGGGGGGGAGTTCCACTTGTAGAAGTGCAGGAACTCGTCGTCCGGGTAGTAGGAGTACGCGGGCTGGGACATCACGCGGCTGCCGTAGACATCCATTGGCTGCGAATACATGCTGTGAGGGCTGGAACGGGAGAAAAAAAAACAACAGCGTGTGGAGCAGCGATCACCTACGTTTCCGAAACAAACTACAGGCCCGTGAACACCTGCCGAGGTCAAAATGGACAAAGTCACAGACGTCCCTTGTGCTACTTGGGTAAAATGTAAAAAGATCCCGAATAAAGACACACAAAAGTCTATCTCTAGAAACAAAAAAAACGATACATTGTAATTCCAGGTAATTAAGGTCAAAATCATTGATTGCTGGTACATTAAGAATAATAGCAAATATGATTCCTTCCATTCACACATTTCCACTTTCCAAGAGTTTCCCCTTATTGAGGGGCCAGCAATTTACTCAAGACACTGGGATTAACAACCCCATTTTTCTGAAAAGCACCAGGGGATCTTTTATTGGAGTGAAGAATGAAGAACCGTACTGTACTTAAGATAAGATCACTTCATTGGCCATATACAATTTCTTGCATTAGGAATTTGTCTTTTCATATACCCCAGCTTTCTCTCCACGAGACACAGACACACAGAAAGGGATACATACAACACCAAAGTTTTCCTATGGCACTGTTTTAGAGAGGTGTGATTGGAAGACATGAATATTCATGTTCCAACAATGCAAACTGATCAGAAATGACTGTCAGGCTTTAAATATGACTTCTGCGAGTGATGGGGTGGGGCTGCTTGAGGAACTGGAAAACACACGTACTAGCCACTGCCAGGGTGGTAGGGAGGGGGGCTCCCGTTCGGTTTTGAAGACATGGTCGGGTCCAGGCCAGATCCTCCTGTAGCTGCTGTCTGGTTTCGTCAGGGGTGCAGTCCTGTAACTTCTGCAAAGCCAGAACAAAGATAGCTAAGGGATACAGAGAGACCATCTACAGATGCTGAAGTCATTTACAAGAGTGACAAGGACCACTGTGGCAGATGTTTCAGCGTACCAGAGTGCGCCAGTAACGTTGCAACGTTCACCAGTACAACGTAGACTGTCCATCACAGCTTTGTGCTTTAGAACAAATTCAAAAACTCATTTGAAGAAGGGCAGAGCTACCCTGCAAATTCCCCCCAAATTCTCAAGTTTGAAAAATAAAGCTGCCGTGTCAGTAAATTCTCAGCAAGGACAGCCCAACAGGTGAATTTCCAAACCCTAATGGCTGAAAAAAAACAAACAATAATTGATTGATTGATATTTTAGAACGCAAAAGACAATTGCATACTTTGCAAATTCTGATGATCAGGCTTTTGCCAGCACATAAAAATAAAGTAACACTTTATTTTAAGAGTCTCCTATAAACCATGTCTTAATCCTTTATGAGTAACACACTAGCACTTCAATGGATAACGTCTATATAAACGTTAGCTAGGTACTTTTGTGAGTTACCCGTGAGGTGACTGTCATCAGTAATAGGAATTGTCTGCCATTGTATTGTGCTTTTCATCCTTATTATTTGTGAAGTCAAAAGTGACTTAAAGACAGTACAGTAGGGACACTTTATCCATTACTGAATTACAGGACCCATCTGGGTGGATGACACACTGTCGAACCCAGTACAAAGCACAGGAGTAAGATATTAGTTCACCTACTGAATTAATACATTTATGTAAGAGATTGTGCAATCCCAAGGTGAAATTCAGCACACATATATGTGCCAAGTTTCCCTGATATATAAAAAGGTATGTATTAGTCATTTACTAGCACTCAAGTTTTATTTCAGCAGAAAAGTAGTAATCTATAGCTGCAAAGGAATAGGTTTATTCCATGAATAATAAATATGAATAAAACACAGCTGCAAGTAATAGGTTTATTCCATGCTGAAAAGAGAAGAAAGAAAACACAATGTTTCAGCTGTGGAGCCTTCTTTAGGTGTAATACATAGCTTACAGCTGACCTCTAAAAACACATTCCAAAATATTTTAACATTTCTGCATTAATATAGTCTTTGAATTTTCAAACCACAGTATATTGCATTTTTCCACTGACTAAACAATGTTCTCCTACTTTTCCATGAACACAAAACTATTACCACTGTCCATATAACCAAAATCCTTAATGTGGACATTTTAACATTCCACAGTGTTTATGTTTTAAAATAATTCTACAGAAGTAGGAATTTGATATTTCATATAATGAAAGAAAAATTAAATATACAATTTTTAACACATCTGCGAGGAACAGACACACAGTAACGTATTAAGGTTTGTACCAGAAATTATGCGTCAGACATTTACTCTTCTTAGTGTTTGAATTGGTGTACAGAAATTAAACATTTATTTATTTAACAATCTGAAACGGGAAAATATATATTTTTTTTTAATAACAGCTAACGCATGATCATCATATCTAAACACTGTGTGTTTTTTGTGAATACCGAGCGCGAAGGATGAAAAGGTGTGGTTGTATCTGGGTTATGTTGCAAAACCCGAAAACTAAAAGTAAAATCTTCATAAAGCTAATCAGGATCTGAGAACGCTCTCTAGGCGATAAAAATATGAATTACTGCTCAACATAAAACAGCCCTCCATAAGATAACACAAATAAACGTTTGTAACGCAATTCACTAAAGGAAAGGGAGTTAAAAGGGTATGCGGATCTCCAATTACTAAAAATGTACACTTTGAACTGGGAGAGATCTAAGAAACGCAATTAATATCAAATAAGCTATAAGTTGTCCAACTGGAAATTTGGTAGTTTCGAACATGTGGTTTTTCTACCGTCAGTTTTAATTTCGATTAGTCATATTCGATCCGTTGTTTTGACACTACAAGCTTATTAGAATATTCTTCTTTAGGAATGAGATCTCGCAAATAATATTGAGAACTGGCAAATTTCTCTGGCGTAATTATAGGCAACTCGTGTCAACAAATAGCTTAAATAAAGTTTTCGACATTTTTCAATCACTGAACAAAAACCGAATAAATCAGGTAACAAACCTCAGAAACAGGTTATTTCATATCTGCTCCAGTTTATAATGCGAAGCCGTTTTATTCTTTAATATGTAGTTCAAAAGCTCAATTAAAAATGAGGAGAGGCAACGTGAATAACCCCGTATGGACATTAAGTTTGTGAAACCTACCCATTTTTAAAATACTGTATATGTTCGGTTCGCCATACAAAACACCATTCAGATTAACCAGGTTTGAACAGAACAAGAGTAGGCAGTTTTATTAAGATTAATACGATGACGTTAGTTTATTAAAACCCGCCCAGTCTCTATCATACCTGAAGACAAAACACCTGTGCAAAGAAACTAAAACAGAAATTCGTCCATTGCGCAACGTTTTCAGGTGTACGTTTGAAATAAACCTGAAACAAATCGTTTCTGAAACGAGGAAAATCATGTTTACATTCTCTCAGAACACAACCAGCATTTTCAGTGGTGCCTCCGACAGGAAAACGACCATTTTACCGAGTTAAATTATAATCGTCTACGGCAAGGCAACTTTACAATTAAAAAAATAATAATTCGCTGCAGTATTTTGACCTGTTTTTTAAAAACGGAACATTTTTTCTTCTCTTATCTCAATTGAAAAATCAACCTTACTAGGTAAAGAACATGAAGAAAATATTACAACAACGTGGAGAAAACGCCACCGGCAATAGAAACAACAAAAACAAAACACCCGCAGATGTACTTCTCTGATGTTAACCTACTAAACAAGACAAAATATAAGTATAAAATACGTGTTGTACGTATACTCGTAACAATATATAAGCAATAAACTTACCAAACCTCTTCAGTATTTCCACACCTGCCTTGTGTCTGCTAAAACCCGTATGCCAATACTGGCGCAGGACACACCTTGCTCTCAGAGACTCACAGGACTGGTGCTGCTCCTGTCTGCAACGTCATTGGTGATCCCGAAACGGTTCTCTGTTCAGCATCAAATAAACCTTTACTTGTTCCTCATTGGTGATGTCAGGCTTGATTTCCACCCCGCCGTAGACCAAACCTGGATTCATAACAAAGCACACCAACCGGTTCCCCTGGTAGATACTGGCAGGTTAACTTTCTGTGCGCGTAGGTGGAGTGTTTTTGTCGGAGATATTTTTTTAGACTACCTGTAATTGCAGGATTCAGTACCTCTAATTAACACTCCTCAATTACACAGCTGAATAACTGTGCTGGTTAAGAATAGAGAAAACGATAAAAGCAACGAAACCGTAATCTGTACTGGTACCGGGAGCCCTAGGCATTTTAACTCTATAATGTGAAATCGATAGAAACAATCGTGTCAGATTTTCAAGATGGCAGCCGTCCACTTGTCACATTCCTGTTAACATATTTTCATACATGAGAAACATGCTCGTCACTACGTAGGTTTTAATACATTTGATCTGAATGTTTAATCGAAACACTCCCTTCGATGCGCAGTCGTTTGGTTGCTGTAGTGGTGAAGTAAACTTTCATGAACGTCTTTCTTCCCGTTGCCACATCACGAGACAGAAACTACTCTCTTGCTGACAACTGCAGAAAAAGTTTTAACCAGCAAAACTGGGAACCTCTGATTGTGATCTTACAGCAACCTGAGCTGGACTACTCAAATTGAGAGTTTGTATTTTTGCGAAGATTAAGAGTGAAGTTGGAAGGGAATGCTCGTCTTTTACCGTGCTATAATCGAGAGCGTGGATTGCTCATGTATTGGTCCAATTAAGATAAAAAAAAAGTCACCCGTCTTGTCCAAACAGCAAAGATTATGAGAGTAAAGCAGCATCTCTTGCAGACGATATTTGAACAATCCAAGATTTTACAGGTGGAAAAATTATATCAAATCATTTTCCTGTTCTTAATTCTCGTAACTTCTTCTTTCCGGAAAACGTTTTAGGGTTCCAAAAATGTAGATAAAATAGATATAATAATAATAATTGTTTTCACTTACATAGCGCTTTACAGGTAATGGGGACTCCCCTCTACCACCACCAATGTGCAGCATCCACCAGCATCTACAAATATGTATTTGGATTGTAATTGTATCTAAGAAAGCAGTTAACATAAATACATGGAATTACAATTCAGAATAATTTATTAAATGAAATCCAACTGATCTGATCCAATTCCAGAACAGAGGTGTTTATACTGAACTCTTATGTGGTAGGCCCCCCTTTTGTGAACAGGACCAGAGGGTCTTTAAGGACCAAAAGTCAGGATCTTGTCTTAATGTCTCAAATGAACAACGATTGTACATCTGCTGGTCCACCAACACGACTTACCAATGATCCAGCTTGACAGTGTGGAAAGTTGCCCTGGGGTATTTGTGTGGTATTATTCTATACAGTATCAACTCCTCCCTCGCTCTGCATCCGAACAATATGCCGCTGAAGCAACATAGACTAGCTGAGCTTCACAGCAAAGAATGCATTTGATAACTGCAAAACAGGACATGACTACCGTGACAGTTAAATGGGACAACAAATCAGCATGTATTTGCATCTGGAGAACTTAAAGGCAGTAGAAATGTACAGTAACACCATTGTTCCAGTCTGTGTGGTTTGCAATCCATCGTAATAAGATAGTCAAATAATTTCATGAAGGGTTTTGATAATAAATTTACTGACAAGTTGTTTACGCAATTTTGTAAGAAAAAAATAGTGGCATTATTAAAAATGATATTTGGCTAAAAGCTTTAAAAAAACCATCAGTTATTAATTTTTCACACCTGTACATCAGAGAATCTCACCCATAATTGATTTAAATATAGGACCCAATGCCACTCTGCGGCCAGCTGAGTAAAAACAAAGCATGGATAGCAGCATCCTAGATTCAGTACATGTGTTGTGGAGAAAATGGTGCTGAGGACATAGAAATAATTCTTAACATAGATAAGGACATGTGGCTTTTCTTCTCAATCTTCCAGCTCCTCTGGCTACTGTTCTGATACACAGGAGAGCTGTTCCTACTATGTGTCCCATTACAGTACTGCAAGTCTTAATTTGTGCCAGGCAGTTCAATTTAGCTCTCTGACTACTCTACCTCCTGTTTCACTCCAGTGTCTAAGTTGTAAGTGAAAACCACAGTTCAGTATATTTTATAGTATAAACCGTGGGGCACAGATACTGTGATACAGATACTGTGATAAGGTCTGAGTGATAAACGTTACTGTTTCTTAACCGAAAGAAAGTTCCAAAAACAGGAGGCCATTTCATGCCATTTAATTTAGCTCTTTTGGTTGCTAATAGTTAAATGATCTTAGGATCCCATAATCTTAGGTTTGACACATTGGCTGAGTAGATTGTACAAGATGCCAACAACCTTTATTATAACAATAACAATAATAAACTTTATTGTATATAGCGCCTTTAAAAGTGGGTTCTCAAAGCACTTTATAGAACAATAAAAACAAAAATGAAAAAATATAACATATACAGTACACACTGAGAATACACAATGAGAGGAGACAGTAGATGGAGGTACTGAGTACAGCAGGAGCAGAGGGGTGAAGAACAGAACCAGTTAAGTAAAGGCTCTTCCAAAAAAGAAGGGTTTTGAGGAGTTTAGAGAAGGTGACTCTCTGATATCCCTGGGGAAAGAGTTCCAGAGCTTTGGGGCATAACAGGAGAAGACCCTGTCACTCAGAGTGTAGATGGGCTTGGGGGACACGTAGGAGACCACAATTAGAAGAGCGAAGGTTGTGAGGTGAGGAGTAGGGCGATAATAGCTCAGACAGGTACTGAGGTGCCAAGCCATGCCAAGCCTTATGTCAGGAACTGATAGGTTGAGTAGGAGGATCCCATGCGATGCCGTGAACTCTGCGGAATGCAGAGTAGCACTAGAACTTAATCCGAGGCATGGATTCCAGAGGCTAGGTCGGGAGAAGTAGCAATGAGTCAGGTTACCAGGGAAATCCAAACGAGGGCAAGAAATCCGAGAAGCAGTATCCAAGTAGTGAAGTTGATAAGGGAAGAGTTTAGTCCAGGAACTGTGAAAATCAGTAGAGAACTCTAAGGGAAGCTTCTCCATCGTGTGTGTGGGTTGGTAAGTGAGGGAAGTTTGAATACTGAAGGGAGAGAGATGTGGTTGGATAATGGGTTCAGGAGTGAAAGTCTGTGGAATCGGATGCATGTGTGAATGTGGTGGTTTCCGTGGGAATGAGTGTGTGAAACAGTGGGTTTGGGAATGCCATGGCGTTTGCGAGGAGAAGTGTGGGATTTGACACCTTATAGGTGAGCATGGGGATTTTGAAGTCGACATGAAACTCGACAGGAAGCCAGTGCAAGGACTCCAGGATTGGAGTAATGGGATCACTTGCACTAGACCTGGTCAGGATTCTGGCTGCCAAATCTTTGGACACACTGGAGTTTTTTGTTCAGTGTGGATTTAGAAACCCCAGCGCGTAGAGCATTACAGTAGTCGATCCGGGAAAAGACAAATGTGTTGATCAGCTTTTCAGCCACAGGTAGCAATAACATAGGACATAGTCTAGCGATATGTTTGAGGTGAAAGAAAATGTTTTTGATACAGTATGTTGCACGTGTGGGTCGGATGTCTAGCCTGAATCAAATATCACCCCCAAATTTTTCCATTTAGACTGACGTTCAAGTACAGCCTTGGCTTTACAAAGCTGATGGGGGCGCCAATAAGTATGACATCAGTCTTGTCACAGTTTGGCGAAGGACATTTTGAGACATCCATGTTTTTGATGGCGGAGATGCGATTAGACAGAAAAGAGACAGCCAGGTCAGTGTCAGGTTTGGTATGGATGTAGATTTGAGTAGCTTTGTGTAAAGAGGTACTTCCTGCTTATCAACCAATCCACATTTCTTTAAAATCTTTGCCAAGACTCTTTATTTGACAAAAAGCTAGGGAGGCATTAAATATATGTGGGGAAAAGACTATGCTGATCATTTCTATATAGTACTTCACGTTTAAGGCAAACATTTCTTAAGTGACTGTGGGGAATCTTTCTGTGGTATTCAAAAATCAGACTGAGCTGAGCTTTAGGTAAAGTAAACCAAAAACCCCTGCAAAATATGTTTTTAGTGAAACAAATATAAGGCAAGTCCAGTATGAAAACATCTCTACAGAAGTATTTATCAATATTCTACTATATCTACCACACACTGTTTGTAGTCAAAATGTAGAAGTTTATTTACAAGTTAGTTTACAAAACACAACAGGACAGGAGTGGCTGCTGTTGAACATTTCTTGCAATGCCAAGGTGCAATTATGTTTCAATAACAGTAGGCTACCACAAAAACAACACAGAAAGCATCTATTTAAGCAGAACCGAAAAAAGGACTTTCAGCAACACAGGCAAAGCAAGAACACCACCAAGCAAATGCTTTGAAATTTGCTCTCAGTACTGTAATGGTAGGCAGTCTGTTGAATGCCAGTCTTCTGCTACATCAGCGATCCTCACTTGTTGTAAGACACAGCTCTGTGTTTCAGAGGGAGCTCACACACTCACCAGTGAATAGAAACGTGGAAACCGTTTGTTTTAGTAGATATTAAATCAATGCTTGATTCAACTAACTAAGAGCTTTGGTAGAGTGAACATCAGTGGAGACTGTGGCTCATGAGGCCCTGAACTACACAACACCAGTAGGACCAAGGGTGGGGTGATCTGAGTTCTCTGTAATTGTGTAGCTCTTCGGGTCCACCAGGGCTGGTTCGAATCAGGGATTTCCAGTCCTGGTTCTGGGGACGCCAACACCTGCTGGTATTCATTGCGGCTGAGCCGTTTGCTTGACTGAATTCATAACTGAACCAATGGGTTGCCTGGTTCATAAAACATACACAAGTTTTCTTTCAGGCCATTTCAAAAGAAACAGGTAAGTGAGCAGTCACCCAGCTCTGCCACACCATGAACAGAGCAAAGAGAAAAAAAATAAAATACTACAAATACCACATTTTAAAGTATAAATTTAAAGTATAAAAATGAGGTTTGTTAGTAGCCTGAATTTAAGAAACCAGTGCTACAACAATATATAAAGAAAAGTATTGTAAAGGATTTCATAAAATGATTTGCTGCTTGCATAACTATAAAAATTCAATAACGTAATTTAATGGCAAAGCTTAACATTAAACCTCAGAATCCTAATTATAGAATGTTAAACAGGACAAAAGGTCAAAAGGTGGCATTAAGACACATTCATTCAGCTTCCTTCACTGGGGAACGTCATGCTGCCATTACTTAAATCTCATCATTGTCATTATCCCCGTTTTTCTTTCTCATAAAGTCCTGGATCTTCTGCCTCATGTTAGACAGCCTGTTCTTCGTGTCGTTCTCTTCTTTTTTGGTCTTCTTAGAAAATGCAGAGCTCTGCAAAAATATGAAGAAAAAAACTTTAATCGGCAAGTAAAAATTCTACGAACGCCACTGCTACATGAAAGTACATTCTAATCCCAGCACGCTTTGCCGTAATTAAATTCAAACCACACCTAGTCAGGTTTCCACCTCTAATATGCTTTTTTTGCCCACTACTTTAAAAAGGTTGTAAAGATTGCCTGCAAATTGTTGTTGTGTAACAAAAAAACATGTTCTAAATGACCAAATCCATTGGATTATAATGCGAAACATATGTTTAACGTTCACATCTGGGCGTACTATACAACTGTAACAGTTAGAACGGTCATGTTCAAAGATCTCTCTAAGACAACAGCTATTTGGTTTAGTGAGTTAGTGAATTGCCATTTCACCTCTGCTGACCATGACCTCTCTGACCTTTTTGCCTGTGTCCTTGTACAGAGATTTTCGGGATTCTCACTCCGGAAAAACATCAGAAACCAAGATTATCCTGAAACTTGGACCACACCTTCCCCCTGACCTCGGTGATGTCCGATTCTGATAAACTAATTTTCTTGTAAATTCCCTTCATTATTTTAAAGATTTCCGCCCTTTACACCTCTCCCCCAAATCTGCATCCGTTTGGACAATCTTTCTCACCTGTGTGCCCTCTCTCACCTGTGCTCTATTTTCTGAAGAAGGCTCAACAGCCCAAACACTGGTTTTCCTCTTTCTGTTTAGGAGTTTCATAACCTTTACGTATCACTGTTCAGCCAATGCATGCTGCCTCAGCTCCCCATATGAGCCTCTACTGTGTAAGCATGCTGAGGTTTTGGATGTACTGTACGATAACAAACAATTTATAATGTTTCGATACAGTTTAGTAAACCAGTTATACTACTTTTCCAGTTGCCTCCCTAGAGCAAAATCCACCCTCATAGGCCACATCATACGTAAACTTAATTGGCTACAGGATTATTCTCAAATTTCCAAATTAAAAGATTACATAGTTTTTGCTTCTAATGTTCTTTTATTCTCCAGGTAATTTCAATTTCACCTTGAAAGAGGAAACATTTCTTAAACTAGTACATAAATTGTAGCATTCTGAGAGAAAAAGGTTATTTTATGATCCTCTATAAAATACTATTGGAAAAAGAAAACCTAAACACCAATTTATTCCAAAAATGATTTGGGCATTTTCTTAGATTTTACTGCAGATAGCATAGCACAGCTCTTAGCATGTCTTTAGAAAGAAATGTGATGAGCAAATGTTTATCAAAGATGTTTATAAAGTTAAACAGTATTTTATGATGAGAAATGAAGGAATGAAAGGGTTAAAATACTGTATACAGTTATTCAAGAAACTGAAGGTTAACTATCACATTCAGGGTTTGTAAAGACTACCATGAAAACAAAGATGATTATAGAATTCATAACTACATTTTTCGATACAAGAATGAAAACACTGGCTTTTGATCTTTTTTATGGAGATTAAAGACAACGCTAAATATTTATGTGTTAACATTAAATTAATCATTACAGACAATCAGAAGCTATTCTGGACATCTAGCATGTTTTGTTGTTAGTAGGTGGTTGATCTAAACATCTTTACTAACGTGGCTGATTAGATTGTTCCAGACTCCCACAACCATTTGTACACGAAATTGCCACCTGTTTTCAGTTATTTCAAATGACCTCTCCTTTAGTTTCCATTTTGTGAAATTCTAACAAGTTAATTAAGAATCACCTTTTCTAAAACTATGAACACTGTCCCCCTAGAATCATGCATAGAGGTAATCTTCTATTCTAGTGACATGTATGGTCACTTGCCTTTTTTAAGCGCTTTGGGGCAACCTTGTTGTGAAAGGCACTATATAAAAATAAACTGAATTGAATCCTCTACAAAGCAAAGTGCTCTGTCTGTGGATTGAGTTCATGACTTTCAGATTATGAGAGTGACACACAGACTACTGATTAAAAGGCTCTGAAAAAGCAAAGTTATGTGAATGTTGTAATGAAGATCCATTTACTACAAATGCAAACAATTTAACAGGACACAAAACTTTTCATTAAATGATTATTTCTATTTTAAGAACAATTTTAAGGATCAAAATGTCTGCTAATATATAACAAATTACAAAGCAGGAAAGCATTGTGTTTATGCACAAATAAATTCTTATAAAACATGTAAAGATTTCATAATAATTTTAGTAACATCCACTCATATTACCACAATATTAGGCTACAAATAATTTAAGGAGGTCACCTTTGATAACCTTAAATATTCTTACAATGTCTTGAATTTATTATTACCTTCAGTGTTTTATTTTAAGAAGTCTCAAATTTCTTTACCATTAAAGAAAAGGTGAGTTTGCGTAATCATAACATTTACAACCAGTTATAAAACTCACATTTATGTGATCATAAAACATATACATGCAGCTAATTTCTTTAGGTTGTTACTTCTTTTTATCAGGAGGTAAGGCTTTAAGCGAGGACATGGATGGATCTTGATATTTTGAAATGATTTGCTACGTGGTCTGATTAAAGCAATTTTTTAAATGTATTTAATGAATTACTTAGAAATAAAGCAAAAAATTACAATATAATTATACCAATAATCTGGGCAATTGTTTACCTTCGCCTGGTTTGTAGGAAAAGACCATCTGCCCACGTCTGGAAGTATTTTACAGTGCAAGTGAAACTCCCTTTAATGACACGCCTACACGTTCTTGACGGAAAAGGGGGATTTTATGTTTTTACAGTCTACAGATAAGACTGTGTAAATTACCCATCAATCAGGAAAATAAGGAAACTTATTTACCTACCTTACTGTATTTCAGCACTACAAAGAACGTAAAAAATAAAAAAGTGGTTTATATTAAATGAACACGCTTTTATA